TATATATATATATATATATATATATATATATATAAAGTATTAACTTAATATTTTTCAAGAATATATCAACGCTATGCTTGAAAGCAAATTTGGAATATTTGAAAGGAAATCATAAAAAAGCTATTAAATTGTTAAACTCCCTTGCTACAGAAACTTTGGATTTCAAGTTAGTAATTTGAAAATTTATTTCATATTTTAATTTTCGTATATTGATATTTTTTATTAACATTATTATCTTATTTTTCTTCTAGATCTTGTGGAAAATTTTCTGCGGTCTTATATTATAATAACATGGCATGTGTACATCTAGCCATGGGTAAACCAAATTTAGCATGTTTTTATTTACGACAAGCTTTATACGAAAATAAAACTGCTGTAGAAAGTGTGCAAGTAAAAGATACTGGTAATTATAACAATTAATATCAGATAATATTTTTTTAAGAAACTTAAATAACAAAGTATCTGTTTAAGATCCTTTATCTTCGCAACCATTGTATACACTTGGTGGAAATAAACATTATGAATTAATGTACAGTCTGGGTACATCATATTTATATGCTGGTCATGCATCAAAAGCTTTTGACTGTTTTACAGAAGCTGCCCAAAGATTACATAATAGTCCTAAACTTTGGTTAAGGATGGCCGAATGTTGTATTTATTGTCATAAACCAGTACGTGTAATCGGCAAGTAATTTTTTATGAGCATATACATTTGAATGAAAATTAAAGTAAAAGTTTATTTTTCTTTTCAGACAAATGAGAGTGATTTTAATATACCAAAACGACGTAGAGATTTGGTTCAGAAAGTTATAGGTTCTGGAATACATAGAAAGATCATTTTAACATCTTCACTTTCAAAAGATACAAAATACCACACAGATGGTTTGTCTTACGCCATGCCACAAACTACTTTAGAATTTGCACTATTATGTTTGAAGAATGCTTCATTCTTATTACCTAATGTTAGTGAATTGAATTTATCTATGACGACAATTCCAAATCCTCAAACAGTTTCATTAGCATTAACACCTGGACATAATCTGAGTATGAATATTTGTAATATTTATTTATATATTTTAATATCAATGATCAAATCAGCAGACATATAACTTATTTATCCATATGTAGATAGTCAGAATTCCGCCTTGATTTCTCAAGCAATGAGGATAGAGGCATTGAATTTAAAGATCAATGTCTTAGCTGCAAGCGCATATGTATCTTTATGTCTTGGAGATTACGTTGTTGCATTAGAACATGCCAAAGCATTATTAAGCTTGAATAAAGTGCCTGGTGCATATAAAATGCTTGGTAATTTGTATGCCGCTGAAAGTTTGATTTTTATGGATAAAATTAATGAAGCAATCGAATATTTGAACCCAGAAACTATACAAGATTTAAATACTTTCGTTTCTATACCCGAAATTCAGGATAAGGATAAGGACAAAATTGAAGAAGTAGTATTGAAACCTGTGAAAGGTAAACTTTTGATAAATATTTTTATCCACACTTTGTAAGATATGTTTATGATTTATAAAATAATGCATATTATTATATCATACTTTATGTAATAAATTATATTATGTTACAGCATGGTATCCAACAACTGTTGCTACAGGAATTGCAATTTTTCGTTATAACTTAGCAGTTGCTTATGCTATACGTGGTGAACTTGATAAATCTGGTGAAACATTAAAACAGGTGAATACAATAATTTATATTTTATTGGATTAATTTGTGATAAATTCTTATCTTAATCTCAGTAAATTGATTTTGATCATTATAGGTTTGGTTATCAAAGGGTATAGACTGTGATGTACCTATACATGTAATAATGTTAGCATTGTATATAGAATTACAACTTGGTAAGATTTATTTAATAATTTTAACAATAAATTCATTGATAGGTTTTATATATTATATTTTCCTTTTAATTATAGGTCACGCGGATGTTTCGAAATCTATAATAAAACAACATTGTCCTCAGTACCGTTAATCATTCTTTTATTTATACTTTATATAATATCATCTGTAATCATCCCCATATTGTGTGTATCAAAATGTATATAGAAATGGAAATGATGGTAATGACAATAGTTCTTTTATATATTTTACTATTTACATATTTATACTAATTGTACAATATTTGTATGTATGTTTCAGATTACATTTTATTGTACATAAACGATAGTTGCAATTTTTTGATCTATGGTAAACGATAAATTAAAAAAAGAAAGTAATCAAGATTTTAATTATTATTCAGATGTAGCTGTGCATATATGCACTTATGTGCGTTTATGTAATATTGTAAAAAATAATTCACATACTAACACTTGGTTGAAAAAGATTATTAATTCAGTTTTCAATGTATACTTCAGTTTTCTATTTAATGCAATAACAAACATTTGTTGGACTTGGTACAGTTATAACATAAATTTAATATAATTATATTTAATTTTGTATAAAAATCATGTTGAAATATACATTTTTTAGTCAAACTAGAAGAAAATATAAACTTCTCTAAATGAATATTTTCAAATATACATATATGTGTGTGTGTGTGTGTGTTCGGCAAGCACTTGACTTAGAGAATAAATTCTAAAGGGAATGAATTAAGAGAAAAAAAGGAGAACAAACATTATAGCATGATATAAAAAGAATTTTATAACAGATGTTACAAAATATGATAAAAAAAAGATAAAGTATTCATCTAAATATTTGTAATCATACAAATTCATACAAACAACTATAATTCATAATCTGTAAACAATAGTAGTTATAATTTAGAGACAAAGTCATGTTGAACGTATTGTATAAATTTATTTTTATTATTTTAGAATACCGAAACCACACATCCCTGAAGTTATCCCCATAGATTTTGCAACACACATCCTGCATGTAAATGAAATGAAATTAATACAAGACATACATCATATATCATAAGAATAATGAGATTAAAAAATACGACAGTAAATGTGTGTAGAAAAAGAAAAAGAAAATAACAAAAACAATTAATATTATATTTCACATTTAAATATAATTGAAAAATAAAAAAAAAGGAAGATTTAAATTTGGCGGTTATATAAAATGAATTAAAATTCAAAGGGGGATTGATTGATTTGCTAATAAATATCTTGTATATCATTATGCATACTGTTGTATCGACGGACATGAGCGGAGAAATGAGAATGAAAACAGTATCGTACGCAGACGCGAGCCATACTTGATCCATTGAATCGACATACTTCTGTCGCGTTTGACTCCGAGTAGCTCTCCCTCTCTCTCGTAGATATAGTGTTTATAGCAAAATAATTGGGGGGAAGAAAAAGATCGGAGAAGGTTTTAATTCTCTCTGTAATAATAATAATAATAATAATAATAATAATATTAATAATAATAATAATAATAATAATTCTAATAATAATAATTATTATAACGAAGCTCTAAAGTAGAGAAAAAAGAAAACAAAAAAAAAGATAATAGGAGTGGTAAGATGAAGTATTTCGTAGTGGAAGCTGGTTCATTTCTGTTGTGGAAGGATTGATGTCAAAGCGTTCGTGGCAAAACGTTCGGGACGGTCGAATAAGGTACAAGTGTATGAGGAAACGGTATCCCTTGTTAATCTAATTCTTCGATAAATATAAATAAAAATAATAATAATAACAAAATTAGGAAGGAACGAAAACATCTTGACAACTTTCTTGGTCAATAAATCAAAATGAACGATACCGTAGAAATGAATTTGAAAGGTAAACATTTAATGGATACTCATGTGGATGACAAAAAGTAAATTGTCGAAAGGAATCGGATAATAAAACGTATATGTACATCGCGTACCGCAGACGGTAGTTGTATATATTTGAAGTTCTCTTTCAAAAGATGGATGCGACGATCGAGAGAGAGTGCAGCGCATTAGGCGGTCTCTTTCAGCAGATAATTACTGATATGAAGGTAAGAGAACAATTGTTTATGTCAATTATTCATATTGTTGTTCTTTCTAAAGTACTTTGTTGTTGTTATTCTTTTTATCCCCCCTTTCCCGCCTACGTATCGTCTATTACGTCTCCATTTCAATCTCTTTATAAATATTACAGTCCGTATTTGTTTGTAATATATTAAATAGTTTTTCTTAATCTATATCAGTATTCTTTCTAATCACTTATTCAAATTTTCTTTTTTGTTTTTCTTTTTTCGGAAATGAAATGAAATAAAGTTTCGTACTTGTTTTACGTGTTATGTTTTTCTTTTTGATATTTTTTTTTTTTTAAATTATTCCTTAAAAATAATTTCTTGCAGAATGGAACCCCACTTTGGGAAGACTTGATCTCAAAAGCTACAAAACTGCATTCATCCTTAAGGTAACGATTACATTGCCATTAACTTTTCATACTTCTGATTTATTATTAATCCAAATTAATTAATAAGATTAGTATCAGGTTGAGATAACCTAAATATAGAACAAGTTATTATTTAATTTTCTAGAGCTGCCATTTTGGCATTATCAACGTATTTAGAATCTTTTCAAAAAATTGCAGATGTAGCGACTAATGCTAGAGGTAAGAGTTCATTGAAACGTTTATTATTGTCAATATTGAATGAATATAAAAGCATGTCATTTCTCTTCTTATGTCTTTTTTTCATAATTAAGGTGCAACGAAAGAGATTGGAACTGCTTTGACAAGAATATGTTTAAGGCATAAAGCAGTTGAAAATCGTATGAAATCATTTACAAGGTAATATTAATAATATGTAATCATATTGTAACTTATATTATTCATTTACTCTTTTTTATGTATATTTATTTATAATTAGTGCTATAATGGATAATTTGGTGATGCCACTTCAAGAAAAAATAGAAGACTGGAAAAGATCTTTGATTAATTTAGATAAGGAACATGCCAAAGGTAATTGATTCTAAATAAAATCAAATAATAGAATATAGAATTTTTTGTATTCGTATACTCATAGAAGAAATTTTTCAGAATATAAAAAAGCAAGAGCAGAATTAAAGAAAAGATCGACTGATACATTGCGATTACAAAAGAAAAAGGGCAGAAAGGGTCAAACTTCTCATTTGCATACTCAGATACAGGGACAAATTCATGGAGTTGTCCAGAGTGATGCTGAGTTTAATAAAATGTTAGAATCTTCTGTTGCAGTCATTCAGGAAAAGCGTTTAAGTTTGGAAGAGACTGAAAGGAAAGCTGTGCGTGCAGCTTTGCTTGAAGAACGTGGTAGATTCTGTCTACTAGCTAGATTTTTAAAACCAGTACTTGTAAGTAACATTAGTATGTTATTTTTATGTTTGCAATCATTTGTTTGTATTAGAAATGATATATGTGTAAATTTATGAACAAAATAAAGGATGAAGAGATAGCAATGTTAATGGAATTGACACATCTTCAAGAAGTTTCCGATCAATTGCAAAGACACGCAGCCTTGCCGCATCATCTACCACCTGCATCTGAACAAGTGATAACAGATATAAAAGGCTGCGATGTTACACAATGGTCATTAGCTACTCCTCCTTCTAGCCCTTCTTTATCTTTAGGATCAAGAAAAAGCTCTATGTGTTCAATCAGTTCTTTAACAAGCAGTAGCAGTGGATCTTGTAAGAGTCATCCAAGTCCATCTGGACATCCATGGCACAGATCCCTTTCTCAGGTACATAGATATTGATTGAGGTCTATGTGTTGAATTATAGCTTCTTTTTTTCTCATTTTAAAAGAATTTAGACTTTTTATATTATATTATATAGTGCATGATTATTTAGTGTCACTGCTAGTGCATTACTTTAGCACAACTAAGGTAGTTGCTCGTAGATTATGGCATGATGGCTACCTGCTTAGTGTATGTGGTAGTCGATGTTATACTCGTTGTAGTCCGTTGGTGCCAGGCCTTCCAGCATCAGCAGTATGGCAATGCTGCGTCATTTAACTAATGGCAGCTCCCGTGATTCTGGATTCACTTCTCAAGATACGTTATATACACAACCTATTTCTGAACATCAGGTAAAATTGTTTATAACTAGTTGCTTATTAGAATAGTTCACTTCTTATTTTTTTTTAGAAGCTTGTTTGTTACAATATATGATATATTTAGTATTTTTTATTTTCTTCAAAGTTAATTCATTTTTATAGGTATCAAATGTCTCTTCTCAATATAATCAAAGTACTGGATGTACTGTTACAAGACCTGTAACTACTTCGACTTGGCCTGATTTACAGGAAACTTCTACTACGTTTGATAGACAAAGTCAAAACACTGTTAACGAAAGGCCTCATACAATCTCTTCTGGTAATAGATGATCATTTATATATATATACACACATATAGTGGATTATATATGTATGACACAGATTTATGATTATTTATATATTAATTAACTATTACTTTAGCTTACGAAAAGGGACATCAAAGACCAGCACTTAGTGTTTACACATTCCAAGCACCCGATCAAGAGGGAAATAATTGTTGTCACAGTCAGCCAGCTTCTCCAGTTTCTTCTTCCTCTTCATGCTCTTCCTCAAACCAACAGTTATCAAGAATACAATTGCGTCGAAATAATGGAAATCGTCCACCAATACCTAATAGATGTTCTAGCCTAGAACGGCCATCAGCAACAGTCAAAACTGAACCACCCAGTAGTCCACGGGGGAAACCTAAATTACCGCTTCCAGCTCACTTAGCAAAAGGTTTCTATCATTTTATTTAATAATAATATTTAATTATTTATGTTGAATCAAATTTTATGCTGTGATACAGAATTAGTCACACATCAACTCCAACAACCAATGTATGTAAACATGCATGAATTGGCAAACTTAGCTGCTAGTCGTGCACAAGAAATGCAGTTCCCTTTACCGCCTCCCCCTTCTTCAATGCCAGCATCAGGAAATGACAAGGTATATTTTTAAAGGTTAAAGATCTTATTTTAATTTCTATTGTTTACGAATAAGATATGTATGATATTATTTTATGTAAAATATATATAGGTCGAAGGTACAGAAAAAGATGGAGGAAGTCAAACATCGGAATCAAGCGTGGAGTCAAGTAGTGGATATGGAAGTCAGACTACTTTACCGCATTCCCATTCTATTCATAATCAGACTGAAAATACTTGGAATGTACCTGGAGCTGCGTCGACTTTACTTTCGCGTAGAGGATCAATGCAGCAAGCTACTAGGCCACCCCCACCGGCTAGACGTACGTCTACTATTATTACAGCTACCTTTAGTAGTCTTGTAATTAATCCCAATGAAGAGAGCATAGAAAATATTTGTGACGATACTGAAAATCTTCCACCACCGCCAGCATTCCTATTAGAGGGTTCTTCGCCCGTAGCAAGTCCTACTCCTCAACGGTATGTATTTTTCATTTTACGTACAACTATGTTGTATTATAATTGGCACATTTAGAGAAACTTATGTTTCATATCACAGATCTATTTCCGTATCAGAAACAGTACGAACTTTGACAGAACTGCGTCATACACCAGCTAGTCCTTCACTCTTACGCAAGGCTGGTGCACAAGGACACACTAACACTTCTAACGTAATGCAACATAGTACAATATTACAGACAGCTTGTACGTCTGTTGAACGTTCATCTACTACTGCCCGTTCCACTTCAAAGGAACGCGGAACGCATTTTACTCAAACGCAAATATCTACTGCCACAGTAAGCAATCAAGGGCAAGGCCCTGGAGGTGTAGGTCAGAGTTTTATGGCTGCACTCAATGCAAAACTTATTAATAGTACAAGTGGTAATAGCACTACTAGCAGCAGTCCAAAACCGGCAAGGAAACATTCCACAGATCAACAAATGACCAAGAATTCTAAAACATCATCTGGTTTTCTTGAAACGTTAAATGCTAAGTTAGCACAACAACAACAGAATCTTCAAGGGAACAATGTAACGAGTAGGTCCGCCAGTGTCAGACGTATTATGGGTAATCGTGTACCCATTATGGATCCAACTCAAGTAAGAGATTCTCTTATGGATCAAATTCGACGGGGTACTTCTTTACGAAAAACCAGCGGTCCGATTAATGATCGATCTGCTCCCAAGATCTGTTGAACGCTGAGGAATGCTGTTTCGCGTAAGTTCCTCCGCTGTTTTATTACGTACAGTGTTTATACAAGGCAATATATAAAAACATCAAAACATCTTTATATTGTCGCATATACGTCAGACTATGACAATACCTTTAAAAGTATATTTGCGTTATTTATGTTATGAATACCAAAACTTTCATTTATTGCACGAGTTACATATTTGTAACGATGGAGCAAATTTTTGACAGAGTTTATTGTAAGTTAAGAAGAAACATTATGTTGAATCTGCCTTGAAAGTATTTATATTTAGCGATACGTAATAATAATAATTATTATTATATATATATACATACATACATATATATATATATACACTTTTATTTAATTTGAAATAGTAATTAAGATAAATCGCTTCTCTAAGATAATTGCAATCTCTGTAACTCCTGCAATAATTGAAGTATAATGGAATTGTATAGAAACTTTTTAGTTCATTATTATGAACTTTTTGAAGATTTATATTACATGCATTTTTTATGAAGCCGAAATCTTGCCGTACTACAGTGGGATCTCGATTATTCGTTGATTATATAAATTGAATCCGAGATCTCGATAGAAACGTTTTGTCTAAAAAACTTTGTCTTCCTCGTTTGTTCGTTATTCACTATAAGATTTAATATCTAAATACATATCTCATTTTTTTTGATGATATTGATATATGGGTATAGACGTGAATTTATCTACATTGTAAAACGGATAAATTACAAAAATAAATTTGTTAAAAGATGAATATAAACACAAATAAAATACAGCTCTTTCTTCAATAAATCAAGGGGATGGTTTAATGACGGACAGATATGAGATCTTTGATAGGTCGGTTCAAAACAAAAATTTGCTTTATAAATCGTTCCATTTTGAGAATCATCGTACTGTTATATTAATAAGAACGTTTCTTGAACTATATATAAATAATATAGTTAATAGCTATGATAGGATCGATTTTTACAATCGGTCAAGCTTCTTGCGCTTTTTTTTTTCTTTTTACCATACTAGTTTAATGAATAATGATTTTTTACGTTCCCGCGTACATTACACGTGCATATTTCATCTATCGTAAGTTCATTCTTCACGTATCATAAATTTTTATAATCGGGATTCCACTTGGTTTCTCTCTCTTTGATATTAAGTAAATCATTTATAATTACTTAATTTAATAGAATATTTTATTTTTCTATAAAACGCACAGAGAATAAGAAAGATAGGTGTATTTTTAAATAATTTCTTTTTGTTATCTCTTTTAGAATTTATTTTTTTTGGAGGTAGAGTGAGTATTCTAAAAAAATGTATTGTTCGCCGTGTTAATACTGTCGTTTGTAACGTAAAAAAAGTAAAAGTGGTATAAGTATTAACTATGCTTTTTTTTTTATATAATGTTCAAAAGAATGAATAGTTATATCTGTGTAGAATTTATCAATGAATTGGATATAAGTCATTATAACTTTAATATGAAAACTATAACGATATTTTTTATTTTAATTCGCGCGTTGCAAAAAGTAATATAAAAGAAAAAAAAATGGAAAATGTTTTCAATATTGCAAATAATGTCTGCATATTTAAAGAAAAAAAGAAAGAAAGAAAAAAAAAAAAAGACAAAGAACCACAACATATTTGATTTTGTTTTTATTTTTAGATTTTTATTTTTATTTTTATTTTTATTTTTATTTTTTTAGATTTTTATTTTTATTTGTAATAAGACAGTTTTTTTATATTGTATTTTCGTCTCATATAAAATATAAACTGCTTGTAAAGTTGTACTCGTATCCATGGATTTTTCCTATGGGGATGCGCGTGTGAAATATTACTGCCAATTTAGAACATTGACACGTTCCTTTCATTCCTCAAGCGATTAGCGTCGATGTTAGTCGATGTCGATAGTGGGCAATAATATATACATATTTATTTATTTAATAAATGCATTATAATATACTGTAAAATGATTATACAGTAAGAGCAAATAGTAATACTACTCCAGAGATTTCACGATAAAAGTGGTCTTTAATGCTGGCGTTTAAAAATGAATTGAAGAGAATATGTGACATAATATTCGGAGAGACGAGCAAACGTTCTCCGTGATATTTCTGTTCAACAACGAAATGTATTCATCTTACCCAGCGTTAAATGCCAAATATACGCTATAATATCAAATGTTCTATTAATTAGTAGTTAATAACCGTTCATCCATTGTAACAAAATACTGTTTGATGTAGTAAAAAATTCGAAGGTGATTGTTAATTTGTATTAATTATTACAATAGTATACCTACAAGAACAATAAATAAACTAAAACAATATTTAATTATTTCTCTTGTCGCTAACGCACCTATGACTAATTATTTAAATCGTATTTCTAATTGACTTTTCAAATGTAATCATGTAAATTATAATTAGTAGTGGTAGTTGATGATTCCTGTTTACTACCTTATCGATAAAGTAGATTTTTTCATACTGACAGTCAGTAGGATGGATCCGATAAGTTTTCCCGAGAGCACAAAAAAGTTAAGATAGAACCGCAACACCGTAGGAACAATGGCAAGAAACCTTAACAGCAGAAAAAAATGAATAAATGCTTCTAATTGTTCACTAATTGCTCAATCAAAATCCATATAATTGCTTACTTTATTAATTATTTATTTATAATATAAAATTTGCTGCCATTCAATTAAAAAATCGAATAAAATATTGGATTTATTAGATACAATGATATAATTAATTCTCTATGAATAACGTATGTTTTATATATTATTATAAACCAAGAGGTTTAAGATTGAAGACACTATTTTTAATATATTTGTATTTTTTTTTTAATTTATTGTTCTTTTATTTACAACTTACAGGATTTGTAGAAAATTATACAGTATAATATTACAATCACCAATTTTTGTATTATCATTAAAAATAAGATTCAGCGTGATAAGTGAATGAATTTAAAATGAACTAGTCTTTCTTTTTGTAGAAAATGTTGGAATTAAGAGTAACGTATACGTATTATGCGATACTACTTATAATACCCTGTGCATATTTTTAACTCGTATGATTTAAAAATTGTTTTTCGTTAGTTAATATCTAAATTTATCATTAAATGTTTTGTACATTATCTCTGAAGTTTATAATCTCACGTATTTTTTCAATATGAATTTCTCTCTGATTGTGAGTGAAATATTGAAATGAAAGTACGTCGCAATTTTCGATTGTTATTTATACATTGTGTGATATTTATTCTGTACTATACGCATATCAACCACTGACCGGTCTATCATAGTCACGTTCATTTTTCTTTGTTTTAGAGCAATTCAATTTAGCTTTTATTAATATTGGAGGCATACCATTGGTGATCGGTATATTATAGATAGACATAAAATTATTAAAAATTTGTTTCCCATGATCTTTTAATGTTACAAATTCATTGCTTTTAGAAGATAACAATAATCCAAAACTTCCAGCTGTAACATATATTTTATCGTCAATATATCAGAATTTTTAAATTAATTAATTGCATTATAAAATGGAATTGTTATGTTTATCTACTTACGATTATCCAATGGTGGACAAGAACATATTGGATTTAAGATAAGTTCGATGGTGGAACGAAGTCGCTTAACATCACCAATTGGATTAAGATCCAATAATAATCTTGCTTTCCGTAGACGCCTAATTGCCACTTTTACAGCGCTATTTGCCGAACAATAGATGTCATTTAAGTTATCTGGTAATTCGTTACTGCATACAGGGCAAGATCGATTTGCATTGGTTGAATCTAAAGTGTTACAAACTTTATTATATTTATTCAATATTTTTGTTCGTATATATTTTATGCCGGGTATTCCAGGGTAAAATCTTTTTTTATGTTTTAAAAATATTTTTTCGTTTTGGAACTTTTGAAACAACCTGTAGAAACAAATACGTACCTGAAGAATTTAATTGGTCATCCATTTTGCGATCCCTTTGTATAGGTGTTGTAGATTCGACGATATCAATCTTGTCATTTGTTTTATTATCAATTTCATCGAACGATGCATTCTCTTGAAGATTAGTTATACTTGGTCTCACATAAACAAGCACTGGACCTTCGATTCCTTCCGGTGTGTCAAGCTCATGATCAATGGAAACAAAGGATGGATTGTCAAAAATTTCATCGACGATAGGAGTTGAGTTCATTTCTGAATCATCTGGCGTTTGACCACTTCCGGTATCCACCTGCGAAGCTGACAAAATAAAGTAAAAATCGTAGTAAAGTGCGAATTGTCTTTTTTCTCTTGATTTTTAAACAGAACGACATCATAAATTTTTACAAATATTATTAATTTTACTCACTGATTGAAGTGTCGGTGGATTTGTTACTTATATTTGGATTCTTTATAACTGGATCTGTTTTAGTTGTAATTGTTTTTGGATCAACATTTTCGATTCCCAATATATTTGATTTCACTTTGACAATTTTCCCATCGTCTGTTTTATTCTTTTCATTATGTTTTTTGAAGCTTACCGTATCGTGCTCCTTTTCATTCGAATCTACCGCCTTTACCGATAATAAATTTTTCAATTCCATTTTATTACGATTGGTTACCTTGTTTTTCATATTTCCACTTTCTTTTCCAAAACTTTTCGATGATTTTTCCAAAGTCTTATTGTGTTCTACGCTAGTATGTTTATTATGTTCGATAAACGCTATAGTAGCCTTTGTTACAACCGGCATTGGATCTGGTATCTTAGTTCCTTCGTTTATATCAGCGCTACTGCACGTTTGAGCAAAATTATAACTCTACAAAAGAATTGTTTATAATTTCAATTAAATTAAAAAAACAAAAATATTTGTATATTGTTAATTGCGTTTAGTATAATACTTACACTAGATACCATTAATTCTTGCTGATAATAATCGTACAACTTAACATTGGCAGGCTCGAGTCTGTCGACAATGTTCTCCCTCATAACATTAAATGATATACATGTTTTTTGTCCAATTAATTTATCGAAATATATAGTGACAATATTGTGGTCATCCTCGAAACGTTTTACCTCTGCAATATAAATATTTCCATGATCACATATATAAGCATTTTTCAATTTGAAAACTACAAAAATAAAGTCTGTTAATTTACTTGTACTTGGAACCTCTAACAACGAATGCAAACTCGATCGATCTGGAACGTATCCGCTGATCATTCCTATTTCAAGTAATGCCATATTGCTTTCTTCGTCTGCCATTTTATATCGAGCACAAACTGTAATTCTTTGCATCGAACATTCATCCACAAAAATAGCCGAAGTAGCAGATACCGAAAGATCAAATGCTTCAGAACCTGTCACTTTAGCTACATTGTATACCAAATTGTTCTAAAATGTACAAACAAAATCTTATTAATGATTGTTCTTGTCAATCGTTTAAAATCGTTTAAAAATCGTTTACCTGCACCAAAACGCATCCTTCACCTTCGGCAAAAATTTCTATTATTGTTGGTAAAGTAGGTAATTGAATCCGTATGAGAACAACTCGATTGTCATCATTCATTCTGTAAACATGATCAACTTCACTCGCGGTAACGAGAACCGATAAATCCGTGGAATTGGTAGACATAGCTAAAGCATATTTTGTAAGTGCTTCCAAGCCAAGAACAGTATCTTGCGTAGACGTAAAACCGCCTTCAGCGTTTCGTTGTTTACACATCCAGCGAACTGCCTTCAAAGCATCAACCATATTTTTTTCCCCGCCTAATTTAACGAGAGAAAGTACAGCATAAGCTGTCATTTCGATACTTAATCCTATTGATGGTTTAGTTTTGTCTTCCCACCAAAGTAAATCCTACAATATAAAATAATAATAATAATAATATATTTCTATGTTATATGTATGATAGAAAGAGATATTGTTGTATTGGATTGCTCGGAAAGTTCTTTTCTTTTTTGTTATTAATAAATTGAAATGAATTTTCTAAACAATCCAATTTATGTGATTTTTCATATAATATTTTCGTACATTGTTACGAGTAGCACGATTCATCAATGACGCCATACTTCCATTCGCTTTGGGATGTTCTAGCAATGCTAAAGCATACGTTGATAAAGCAGCTGTGTAAGGACTGTCGTAAACGTCGGTCAGAGCTTCTAAACAATAAAGAGCATTATTGATGAGTGAGGCTGTCAAAAGAACACCAGATTCCAGTAGTGATATGAGAATGTAAGCTGTCAGTGCTGCCGAACTATCGTCTTCTTGCAAACCTCCCTATAATCGAATATACAGATATACATGAATATAATTTAACAAATATATCTAAATAATTATATCCCTTTTTTTTACCTTCATTTGTTTGTGAAAAACAGTTCCTATTATAGGGAAACATCCATTTTCTAATTGTTTACTCATGATCCATTTAACAGATATCTTCAAATCACGTTCATCGATATAAATCAAACTGCGAGCTTGGGCAAAAGATTTGACTATGAAAGCAGTCAACCATATTGAACTTCCACTTTCTGAAAATTCGGGACCAAATGCCGAATAAGAACCATCTGGGTGTCTGTAATTAAGCTCACGTTGGTATCCTGTAATAATGAATTCCATTTAATATTTAATCTAA